GGAAGTCGGTCACTTGAAAGGAAACTCCTATGGACTCAGCCTTCAACAAAGTCGCGTCATGCTGCACAGCTAGCTACCTGCAGTCAGCAAGCAGCAGTCAGGAAAGGAATGACTCCACGCCGGTCCCCCCAACCCCAGCCTGCCACGTATCTCCGCAACCATAAGATTATCCCAGTACTTTTCCCGCGCTGCAATTCTTTATGCTCAAGTGCACGAATCTTTGAGAAAGAAATAAAACGTTACCATTTACAGGTAACTGTGAAAACCCAAGTAACTTATTGTGGAAATGGAAGCTCCTGCTGCACAGGAAGAGACAACAATCCAGGGTGAGAACCTGCACTCTGACTGACGTTTTGGCACTCCTGACCTCTCAAGGCAGAAAATCAGTAGTATCTGCCCAAAATACACAGACATGACAGAGTAAGAGACACTTTGATGGATCCCTGGATTACATACTTATCAAGCAACAACTAAAACTATCAATATAACCCACAGCAAACGATGTGGAAGACACCAACCCAAGTTCAAGGTAATCAGAAAGAAGCTACTTGTTTTTTCATTATAAGCTTTTCAAGTCCAGTTCAGAAGCATGTTGCTTTTTCATAAACATAGGTTGTTAGTACTGTTAAATTTTGTGGTTCCCGTTTTAAAGTCATTTGAATACTCTGCCCCTTGCTTCTCATGCCCATTTGGTTTTATTGCCAACAGTTTGAACACACTACTCTTTCTGCTAACATGAATTAGCTTACAGTTGCCTGAAAACACAGTCACAAGAGGAACATGACCATCATCAAAAAAGGTAGCTACAAATTCTATTAGTCATATCACCTAGGAGAAAGTGGAGCACCATGGGAGAAGCATGCTAAAGTTTCAGTAGAAAACACCAGTTATTCAATAATGTGCACCAGGCTCTTTGCAGACTACTAATCTTGGAAGGAAAGCAAGTGCATTACAAAGATTAAAAGCAATTTGTATTACAATCTCTGCTCTTCATGACAAGGGCTAAAGGCGACACACCACAAAGGGAAGGTGACATCCTCCTAGCAAGAAAGCGAGAAGTCACCAGCTTTTCTTATACTATCCCACAGCCGTTTAAGCAGTGCTCCCAAGCCCAGCTCCCTGACCCAGCTCCCAGCTCCCAACCCCAGGCACAAACACCAGCTTTTCTTCTAATCCTAGTGCTGTCACTGCTGCTTGCCAGGGCGGGGGTGTTAATTTTTTTTGTTTGTTTGTTTCTCCTCCTAAGAGCAAAGGCAGAGCAAGACCGCAAAGACCTCCTACCGTGCCTTTTCGCCGCGCGGCTCCCACGCACGGCACTACAGCCCGTCCTGTAACCA